ACACATAGTACATGCGTGTGGGGGAGGAGGAGGGAAGGTGACACGCATAGTACATGAGCGGAGGAGGGAGAGATGAGAGGAGGGGAGGTGACACGCATAGTACATGAGCGGAGGAGGGAGAGATGAGGAGGGGAGGTGACACGCATAGTACATGAGCGGAGGAGGGAGAGATGAGGAGGGGAGGTGACACGCATAGTACATGCGTGTGGGGGAGGAGGAGGGGAGGGGACACGCATAGTACATGAGCGGAGGAGGAGGAGGAGGGAGAGATGAGAGGAGGGAGGTGACACACATAGTACATGCGTGTGGGGGAGGAGGAGGGAAGGTGACACGCATAGTATATGAGCGGAGGAGGGAGAGATGAGGGGAGGTGACACGCATAGTACATGCGTGTGGGGGAGGAGGAGGGGAGGGGACACGCATAGTACATGAGCGGAGGAGGCGGAGGGAGAGATGAGAGGAGGGAGGTGACACACATAGTACATGCGTGGGGGGGAGGAGGAGGGGAGGTGACACGCATAGTACATGAGCAGGGGAAGAGGAGGGGAGGTGACACGCATAGTACATGCGTGTGGAGGAGGGGAGGTGACACGCATAGTACATGAGCGGAGGAGGAGGAGGGAGAGATGAGAGGAGGGAGAGATGAGAGGAGGGAGAGATGAGAGGAGGGGAGGTGACACACATAGTACATGCGTGTGGGGGAGGAGGAGGGGAGATGACACGCATAGTACATGAGCAGGGGAAGAGGAGGGGAGGTGACACGCATAGTACATGCGTGTGGAGGAGGGGAGATGACACGCATAGTACATGAGCAGGGGAAGAGGAGGGGAGGTGACACAATAGTACATGCGTGTGGAGGAGGGGAGGTGACACAATAGTACATGCGTGTGGAGGAGGGGAGATGACACGCATAGTACATGCGTGTGGGGGAGGCGGCTCCTCACCAGCGCGATGTCCTGGTGACTGACGTCCAGAACCTTCAGGATGACGCGCAGATCCCGCGAGTTGTTGTTCGGGTCACTGGACTCGTATTCAGAATCTTCCTCCCCTCCCCCGCTCACCAGCAGAACTCCCTCGTAGATGTTGGTCCGCGTCCCCTGACCCAAATGGGCTTTCTGCCGAGAAACATTTCATTATTAGCGCCGGATACCGACCGTGACCCCCATGTGACCTCCCCCGCAACGCCGGATACCGACCGTGACCCCCCCCCCCATGTGACCTCCCCCGCAACGCCGGATACCGACCGTGACCCCCCCCCCCATGTGACCTCCCCCGCAACGCCGGATACCGACCGTGACCCCCCCCCCCATGTGACCTCCCCCGCAACGCCGGATACCGACCGTGACCCCCCCCCCCATGTGACCTCCCCCGCAACGCCGGATACCGACCGTGACCCCCCCCCCCATGTGACCTCCCCCGCAACGCCGGATACCGACCGTGACCCCCCCCCCCATGTGACCTCCCCCGCAACGCCGGATACCGACCGTGACCCCCCCCCCCATGTGACCTCCCCCGCAACGCCGGATACCGACCGTGACCCCCCCCCCCATGTGACCTCCCCCGCAACGCCGGATACCGACCGTGACCCCCCCCCCCATGTGACCTCCCCCGCAACGCCGGATACCGACCGTGACCCCCCCCCCCATGTGACCTCCCCCGCAACGCCGGATACCGACCGTGACCCCCCCCCCCATGTGACCTCCCCCGCAACGCCGGATACCGACCGTGACCCCCCCCCCCATGTGACCTCCCCCGCAACGCCGGATACCGACCGTGACCCCCCCCCCCATGTGACCTCCCCCGCAACGCCGGATACCGACCGTGACCCCCCCCCCCATGTGACCTCCCCCGCAACGCCGGATACCGACCGTGACCCCCCCCCCCATGTGACCTCCCCCGCAACGCCGGATACCGACCGTGACCCCCCCCCCCATGTGACCTCCCCCGCAACGCCGGATACCGACCGTGACCCCCCCCCCCATGTGACCTCCCCCGCAACGCCGGATACCGACCGTGACCCCCCCCCCCATGTGACCTCCCCCGCAACGCCGGATACCGACCGTGACCCCCCCCCCCATGTGACCTCCCCCGCAACGCCGGATACCGACCGTGACCCCCCCCCCCATGTGACCTCCCCCGCAACGCCGGATACCGACCGTGACCCCCCCCCCCATGTGACCTCCCCCGCAACGCCGGATACCGACCGTGACCCCCCCCCCCATGTGACCTCCCCCGCAACGCCGGATACCGACCGTGACCCCCCCCCCCATGTGACCTCCCCCGCAACGCCGGATACCGACCGTGACCCCCCCCCCCATGTGACCTCCCCCGCAACGCCGGATACCGACCGTGACCCCCCCCCCCATGTGACCTCCCCCGCAACGCCGGATACCGACCGTGACCCCCCCCCCCATGTGACCTCCCCCGCAACGCCGGATACCGACCGTGACCCCCCCCCCCATGTGACCTCCCCCGCAACGCCGGATACCGACCGTGACCCCCCCCCCCATGTGACCTCCCCCGCAACGCCGGATACCGACCGTGACCCCCCCCCCCATGTGACCTCCCCCGCAACGCCGGATACCGACCGTGACCCCCCCCCCCATGTGACCTCCCCCGCAACGCCGGATACCGACCGTGACCCCCCCCCCCATGTGACCTCCCCCGCAACGCCGGATACCGACCGTGACCCCCCCCCCCATGTGACCTCCCCCGCAACGCCGGATACCGACCGTGACCCCCCCCCCCATGTGACCTCCCCCGCAACGCCGGATACCGACCGTGACCCCCCCCCCCATGTGACCTCCCCCGCAACGCCGGATACCGACCGTGACCCCCCCCCCCATGTGACCTCCCCCGCAACGCCGGATACCGACCGTGACCCCCCCCCCCATGTGACCTCCCCCGCAACGCCGGATACCGACCGTGACCCCCCCCCATGTGACCTCTGGCACGCCCGCACCACGCGGGGAGACTCTGGCACGCCCGCACCACGCGGGGACACGCATACACACAGAGGTTGTGCTTGATGGACCCGTGTCTGTCTTCATGCGCGGATACAATGTAACGATGTAAGAAGTTTGTGCGTTACGTTGTGTGGACGGGACCCCGGGGAACATTTTTGGGGGTTTTCTCAAATTTGACTGCAAAAGTGGAAATGTATTTGTAACTTCCTGTGGTCGAGGTTCAGTCACATGACGCCAGGGGTCAGAGGTCAGCTGTGTGCAGAGAGAATGGGAGGGCTGAGAACGTACAGCCAATCACAGGACAGAGAAGGAATCATGTGACACACCTGTGAGATCTCATGCTTGCGGATCTGGTGGAAGCTGAGCTGGCTGAGGTTCAGGCTCCGCAACTCGCCGCGCTCTCTGCTGTTCCTTCCCTTGCGGCAGATTGTCAGGTTAGAAACTTCTGCAGAAGGAATATAAGAGACGGTTCAGTGTCATCCACACGCAACGCACACGCATGTGCGTGCACTATCCCAGAACGCATCACTCCTAATGGAATATTTCATGTGCTGGACGCATGTATATATCCAACTCCTCCCCCATCCAACTCCTCCCCCATCCAACTCCTCCCCCATCCAACTCCTCCCCCATCCAACTCCTCCCCCATCCAACGCGGGGAGACTCTGGCACGCCCGCACCACGCGGGGAGACTCTGGCACGCCCGCACCACGCGGGGAGACTCTGGCACGCCCGCACCACGCGGGGAGACTCTGGCACGCCCGCACCACGCGGGGAGACTCTGGCACGCCCGCACCACGCGGGGAGACTCTGGCACGCCCGCACCACGCGGGGAGACTCTGGCACGCCCGCACCACGCGGGGAGACTCTGGCACGCCCGCACCACGCGGGGAGACTCTGGCACGCCCGCACCACGCGGGGAGACTCTGGCACGCCCGCACCACGCGGGGAGACTCTGGCACGCCCGCACCACGCGGGGAGACTCTGGCACGCCCGCACCACGCGGGGAGACTCTGGCACGCCCGCACCACGCGGGGAGACTCTGGCACGCCCGCACCACGCGGGGAGACTCTGGCACGCCCGCACCACGCGGGGAGACTCTGGCACGCCCGCACCACGCGGGGAGACTCTGGCACGCCCGCACCACGCGGGGAGACTCTGGCACGCCCGCACCACGCGGGGAGACTCTGGCACGCCCGCACCACGCGGGGAGACTCTGGCACGCCCGCACCACGCGGGGAGACTCTGGCACGCCCGCACCACGCGGGGAGACTCTGGCACGCCCGCACCACGCGGGGAGACTCTGGCACGCCCGCACCACGCGGGGAGACTCTGGCACGCCCGCACCACGCGGGGAGACTCTGGCACGCCCGCACCACGCGGGGAGACTCTGGCACGCCCGCACCACGCGGGGAGACTCTGGCACGCCCGCACCACGCGGGGAGACTCTGGCACGCCCGCACCACGCGGGGAGACTCTGGCACGCCCGCACCACGCGGGGAGACTCTGGCACGCCCGCACCACGCGGGGAGACTCTGGCACGCCCGCACCACGCGGGGAGACTCTGGCACGCCCGCACCACGCGGGGAGACTCTGGCACGCCCGCACCACGCGGGGAGACTCTGGCACGCCCGCACCACGCGGGGAGACTCTGGCACGCCCGCACCACGCGGGGAGACTCTGGCACGCCCGCACCACGCGGGGAGACTCTGGCACGCCCGCACCACGCGGGGAGACTCTGGCACGCCCGCACCACGCGGGGAGACTCTGGCACGCCCGCACCACGCGGGGAGACTCTGGCACGCCCGCACCACGCGGGGACACGCATACACACAGAGGTTGTGCTTGATGGACCCGTGTCTGTCTTCATGCGCGGATACAATGTAACGATGTAAGAAGTTTGTGCGTTACGTTGTGTGGACGGGACCCCGGGGAACATTTTTGGGGGTTTTCTCAAATTTGACTGCAAAAGTGGAAATGTATTTGTAACTTCCTGTGGTCGAGGTTCAGTCACATGACGCCAGGGGTCAGAGGTCAGCTGTGTGCAGAGAGAATGGGAGGGCTGAGAACGTACAGCCAATCACAGGACAGAGAAGGAATCATGTGACACACCTGTGAGATCTCATGCTTGCGGATCTGGTGGAAGCTGAGCTGGCTGAGGTTCAGGCTCCGCAACTCGCCGCGCTCTCTGCTGTTCCTTCCCTTGCGGCAGATTGTCAGGTTAGAAACTTCTGCAGAAGGAATATAAGAGACGGTTCAGTGTCATCCACACGCAACGCACACGCATGTGCGTGCACTATCCCAGAACGCATCACTCCTAATGGAATATTTCATGTGCTGGACGCATGTATATATCCAACTCCTCCCCCATCCAACTCCTCCCCCATCCAACTCCTCCCCCATCCAGTCCTCCACCAGTCTATATACCGCATCCCCCGAGCCATAAGCCGGCCACACACAGAGAGATTACCTGCAGACTTTCTCCCGTCAGATCCCTCCGTCTACACTGAGCTGTGTGTGGCGGTATCTCCCGCAGGGCGGAGCTTCAGTATCTTGCTGGTCGGCCCCGCCGGCTCTCACAATACCGGAACCATCTGATTGGATGCCGGCATTTTACAGCCAGCAGGGCCGACCAGCAAGATACTGGGGGTCCTCTCCATCCAGAACCCGGCCTTCCTCCGGTACCCAGCCGGAGCCGTCTGGCCGGCCAATCAGGAAGCCGGGTGCCGTGAAATGACGGACGCCCTGCTTTCTGATTGGCCAATGACGAGGGAGCACGAGGCCAGCTGCCCCGGCTTCCTAAGTGGCTGAGAAGTCGGCTCCATGCGCTCTCATCACAAGGGACGAGGGAGCATGGAGCCGCTTCCCGGCCAATCAGGAAGCCGGGCGCCGTGTAATGAGACTCTGCCGGGTTCCGGATGCAGGAAGTATCGGGCCAGGCGTCAGAGTACTGGCCCACATACTCGGCAGCGATACGACTTAGAATGAGGAGGGTCATTGCCCCAGTGAAGGGATAGGGGGCGTTACCTCCAGATTTGGGGAGGATACATTGCTTGACGTGGAAGATCTCCTGGCCGGACCTCAGCGTACATCCTCGCAGGTTCTCCGTTAGCTCCTTGACACTGAGGAAGCCGCGATCCCACTGCTCCAGCGTGTACACGTCCTCCACCCGATCGATCCGGAACTGCCGGTAGCTGAACCCTTTGCCCTGAGGAGGGAACAACAAAAATACACAAAGGGTTAAAGG